ACAGTGCTCTCTTGGGGCATAAATCTTGGCTTCATTTGCCTTCCTTTGAAATCTGAGTGGAAGCCTCACAGATCCCACAACTCTTACATTCTGCATGCCTGAAAAACCAGCACCTCCTAGATGATACTAAGGTTTGCTACAAACTAGAGAGGGAGCCAGGCCCCCTTGGACCACAGCTATAGAGGTTTCTGAGTGCCTGGATGGCTAAACTTTGGGAAATACATTCCCTATATGGCCCTGAATGAGCAAGGTACTCTAGGGCTCTCTCCTCAAAGCATATCTTTCAAAGGAGTATGCTCTTTTATTCTCTTGAGCTTGCAGTTGGTGAGTCCTGGCCATTTCCTAGACATCTTCAAGCAATCTTTCTTACTGTCTTGATGAAAAGTAGTTGGCCGCTCTTTAATGTTAATCTTTTCAAGAAACTATGTTCTCCTGGGACCCAAATTTACATTAACTTCCTTCTGGGCAAAAATTAGTTTTTCAAATTTTTCTGCTGCTTTTTGCCCCTCATTCTCACTATAAATTGGGACAAAAGAAGCCAAGAATACCTATGCCATAGCCTGAATGTTGGACAATGTGGAAATTTTCTCCACAGATTAATCTACCACCCTTAATCTTAGTCTTACAAAGTCTCAGAAACATGAGCAAAATGTAGACAAATTTCTGGCCAGAATCTAACATACGTGGTCGATAGTCCAGTTTCCAGTAGAGACCTTAACTGAATCCTCGTGAGCCTGGCCTTTACTGTCTGCATTGATAGCAACACTTCGGTCTTCTGAGCTCCAACTAGAATCATTCATCAAGCTCTGTTTATGGCACCTCCAACTTTTCCAAGGTCTCTTCCCCAAACTAGTTCCAAAGGCTTCCAAACTACATGGTTAGGTATGGTCACAGCAATGACCTCCGATACAAATTTTCTGCATTAGTTAGCTTTCTTGTGGCTGGAGCAAAATACTCAAAACCCACAACTCCTAATGGAAGAAAGTATAGTGGCTGGCCATTGGCAACAAAAACATTAAAACCCTTGGCAGCAAAACTCATGTTATAGCCATCCAGCTCCCACACAGGCCAGCTGCTCTTTGTAGGTGTTCATAAGAAAACAACACTGATCAAAACTTCACAAGATAAAAACAAACCTCTGATGTAATTAAGTCCTATTCATTCCTCCCAATGAGTCCTAAATCATTTTCTCTGAAAGGCATGTAAAGACTTTTTCACTAAAGCTAAAAGGCCTTCTGTAAGCCAGGGAAAATGGTCTTGTTAAAATTACAATTGTAAACATAATTTATGTGTTCCCTAAAGATGTAGCTCCCTGAAAATCTAGTAGGTGCTAAATTACACAGGAAAAGACATTCTTGAGATAATTGCAATCACTGTCTAGACCCTTTTTCTATGTCCTCAAACTCTTTTAAAAACCCCAATAGAGACACTGCAATTCTTGAAAACTCACCCACTGTCCCTCTTGACAGGGTTTTGTGATCAAAATAAACTTTGTCTTTTCTACATTTCCTGTCTGTTGGTAAATCATTTTTACTCCCTGAATTACTATCCCTCTGTACAGCATCTCATGTGCCATAGGTATAATTTGACAGTTTTGGGGGTCTCAGTTCATGACTGGTTGTTTCCAAGGCAGAAGCAGCATGGTAAAAAGAACTCAGTGGAGGAATGCTGCTCACTTCATGGCAGCCAGGAAACAGAGAAGAGAGAAGCTAAAGAGGAAGATATATTCCCCAAAGGCACACCCCCCAGTGACATACTTCTCCCAACCAGCATGACCTCTGAACCCATAAGATTTTGGGGTGACATTCTAGTTCTAAACCATAACAGTTTTTTTCAGTCCAAAATTTAAATTTTTCAAATTGTTATACTGTGATTTTTATACCAAATTCTCACTATAAATCTAGCTAAAAGGAACCAGAATTATCCATGCTACAACCCAAATGTTGGGCTGCTTTGGAATTTTATCTGCCAGATCAATTAGTCCAGTGCTCTTATTCTAGTCTCCCACAAAGTCTCAAGACATGAGCATAACACAGACAAATTTTCTGCCAGAGTATGACATATATGACCTCTAGTCCAATTGCTAATGCAGTCTCTATTCCCAATTCAAACTTCCTGAGCCTGGCATGTATTGTCTGCATTCCTATCAGTATTCTGCTCTTCTGAGCTCCGGACAGAATCACCCATCAGGCTCTGCTTTCAGCATTTCAATCTCTCCCTACAAACCAGTTCCAAAGGCTTGTAAATAACATAATCAGGTTCAGTCAAAGTAATGACTCCCTTCCAAGTACCAAATTTTCTATTAGCTTCCCATTCCTGGGACACAACACCCAACACCTACAGTCTAAAAGAGGAAAAGTTTAATTTGCCTCATGGACTCAGAAGATTCAATCTATGTTTGCCTGACTCCATGGAGAAACAACATAGTGGAAAAACATAACAGAGCAAAGATGTTCAGTTCACTGTGGCTGGGAAGCAGAGTAGAAGACCAAAGCCAGAGAGAAAGAGGCAAGGGACCAGATATTCAGAGTCATGCTTCCATGACTCACACAGACACCCATAAAAGTGAGTTCCACCAATCTCCTGGGTGGCTTCCAAGATTCACTATCCCAGTCATATTCTATGAGATAAAGTGGTCATATTTTCCCTTACTCAGCAGTGACCAAGCAACTACTCCTTGCTAGCATTCTGGGAATCAGTATAAGATACCATTTTTGATCATCAAAACCCTAGTGCTAATAAGGAATTCATAATGAAGGAGTTACAATGAAGGAGCACAGCAGCAACAACATGACTGCCTTCCACTGAAGTGTAACTTGCACAAGGAGTTTCTCTCTCCCTCCCTCTCTCTCTCTGCCTACCAAGAGAGCTTTAGTAGCTAAATATATGAGAGATGAAGGTTGCTCAGGTTTTTATTTTTTCTCTTCTTTTTCTCTGCCTTCTGTCTCAGTGCAAGCACAACCCACTCTATAGGGATTATCTTTTATGAGGTAGCTTTAGGTTGTAAACTACCCCCTCCTTGCACCTCTCCACTATCAAATGAAAGGCAGTTTTAGCATAACTGTGCATTTTCATGTTTAAACTATTCATATTTTCCATTTTCTTTTCCAAAACACTTTTATGTCAAATACTACTACACTCCATTTAAATCACTAAACATAGATACCAAGTTCTCAGAATTTTTGTATCTTTATTGTTAAAGGGTGAAGTGGAAAAAACCTACAGCTAACAAGCACCAAATTAAATCATATATTTTCTTCACTTTTTAAAAGCCAATGTCCAAAATAGACAGTTTTTTCAGTAGACAATAACAGGAAGTTACCCAAGCAGATGTTCCAAACACAGTGGGCATTTTCATTTGGAATGAACAAATCAAAGCATTTGTATTTAGCATATCCAAAGCCACATCCTATCTTTTTGATCATAGAAATGCCTTTTCCTTTCTCTGAACCATCACTATTATCTTTCAATTTGGTTCCCTCATCTTCCTGACCTATTCTGTGTTAAACCCTTGAATACTCCTAGCCTGTAATAGCCTCATTAGTTCCATTGTTCTCATCATCTTCTACTATTTTAGGCTTTCTCTCTCTGTCTCTCTGTCTCTCTGTCTCTCTCTCTCTGCTACCAATTTGTTCATAACCTAAAATCTTCAAAACGTTATTGCTAAATTAATGAATTTAAACTATACTGTTGATTTATCTTGCTCCTTTGTCTAAAATCTTCCAATGGCTATGCTTTCACTGGTAAATTAAGACCAAACTTTTTAATGTCATTGAAGGCCCCCTGCCTACAATTAAATTCACAGTCTAATTTTATTTTTCACTACTCTTCTTCATTCATGGAATTGAAGGTTCCATAGTGGAAATGAAGACACTGCCCTTCCTATTCCATGTCTCCGTTTTTATTTCTTCCTCTACCTGAACTACTACTCTCCTTTCCAGTGTTAAGTAGTAAATTTAACCCAGTCTTTAAAGCCCAAAATGATTCCCATCTCCTCCAGAATGAGCCACTCCTAAGCCTAACATTCCCACTGTAGCTCTTTGAAATATGTATAGTCTTTTTCTTTTTTTCACAATCACTGCATTTTTATGCTGTTCCTAATAGCGTGTTCATTACCCTAAGTTCATTTATGTGTTTCTCCTATCCTATACTTATAATCTGCACACTTGCCACTGGACTAGGAGGTATCTAATAGCAAAAATCATGCCTGCAAATGTTGTTGTGACAGTGCCCTGTACTCAGGAATTTCCTAATAGCTTATTATTGCTAGAGCCTGTTATTGCCAAAGAGGTTTAAATTGAAAAAACATGAGGCCTACTATACTATGCTATCTCCTTAATCCAAATCTTTTTGTACTCTATCTGATTAGTGAAGCCTAGAGCTCCCTCTTTTATATCAGTAAGACAGTACAGGCAACAAGTGTGGCAGCTGGGGGGACAGAGTAAGAGCAAGAACTTGCAGAACAGGTGTGATTCTGGCCCTGCATTTAGTAGTGACATGAACAACTCAATGGACTAAATATCAACCTTTTTCTCCTATTATTAGTGAGACAAATGTTTGAAATTACTCTATTTTTTATCAACAGATTCCAAATACAGTGGTGCCTCGGTTCATGAATGCTTTTGTTTGTGAACAATTTGGTGCGCAAACAAAAGCATTATGCAAATTTTTTTGCTTGCAAACTCTACATAGGGTGACAAACATGATCACAGCCATCTTAGCTGCACAAACCGAAACGTGGCCATGTTTTCTAAAATTGTGGAACAAATTAGGTTTGTATTCCACTGTACAATGATTTTTTTAAAAACAAAACATGTTATAACCTTGACTATAAATATGTGCCAGATAGTAAAAATGTCCATTTGTACCAGCTCATCATCTTCTGTAATAGTATCAATCAATCTCTGATTATTCAATTTAAATCATTCAATCTATAGCTAAAAACTTTGGAATTCATTAAATGACAACTGTGTAATGGGGCCAGCCGCCACCACACCCACCTTGAAACCTTTTGAAGCAGCAATATGGGCAGCAGTCCAGCCCTCTCTGTCAGCATGGTTAATGAGGTCTGCAGGAACAACAGGCTTGGATGTGTCTTCAGGACTCTCTTCTCCTCCATCCAAGGCACAGAAGGCAGGCTCAGGCTCCTCCTCACTCTGAGAGTTTCCATGAGCTGGTGTTCTGTGGAACATAAGAAGCTTCAGGCTTTCCTCATTACCAGTGTCCACAGCTGCATGAACTGGTGTCCAGCCATCCTGAAATAAAATGACCAGGGGAAAAGGGTTGATAACAACATTAATGTTGAGAACAGTGTTATTTGAAGTCAGTCCACCTCTAAATGTTGTTGGGCATGGACCACTGAGCTGGGGGAGTAGGCTTTCCAATCCTGACTATCACTAATAAGTCAAGTTTCCTCACTTCTGTAGGCTGTGATTCATGCTTGCTGTTTTGTATTCATTTCTACCCGTTGATTAATCATCTGGAGTGAGGAGGTACTGCCCAGGCCCATAACTGAGGATTACGTACAATAACCCAAGATCTCAATCTAATATTATAAAAGGGAATGAACTTTAGCCTGAAGTTTTTTTTTTAACAAGAATAATGTTAGTACTAATGCATTAGAGAATGCTGCTACAAACCTGTCTTACTTAAAAGGCAATGGCCTAACTGTAATGATTTTTTAAAATTTTATGCAAACCATTCCAGAAGGAAAGATTCCAGATAATAGGGAAAATGTAGACATGCAAGCCAAAAATTTGACAAAGCCAAAAAATTTCACTGGATACCTATGAATCTGCTGAGTGTTCTGTGATTACAGAGGGATACTGATTATGACAAACTTAGAAAATGCTCCAACTAGAATTACTGGGTCCATTTTCTACTTTGAAGCCTCCATTACTCACTTAGCTGGCTGTCAAAGTAGACATGCAACTCCTTCCTAGGACACTGGTTATTAGGTACGGTCCCCAGACCAGCAGCATTAGTGTCCTCTGAGAATCTGTTAGATGTGCAGATACTTAAGCCTTATCCCTGATCTACTGAATCAGAAATTTTGGGGATAGCGGTGGGGGTCTACCATTCCTACTAGGTGACTAGGACCCACAAAAGTGTAATAAGCAGTGTCCTAGAGAAAACCTCGGTTCTGTCTAGTCTTCCATTTTTATACATAGATGGGTCTTTCTACTACACAGACACCCATCTTCCTTTGTTTTAATACTATTTCATGAAAGAACTGACATATTTTGGCTTTATTTTCTACTTTTATATTCTCTTTGATATAATTTTCATATAGTATTTCATATTGTTATCTTGTATATTTTGTGGGTTATAATACTTTTTTCCTTTAAATAATGGGACAGAAGTCAGAGAAACAAGACAATAAATGGGAGCTATTTCCATTTATGCTAGGTCATCTGATCATTTGCTAAGTTTTTTCTCTCATTCTGGACCTCACATTAATAAAGTCCGCTTGGCCAAGCCAAGGCCATGGCTGAACAGTAACTAGAATGTAGTTCTCAGGTTCCTGTCAGGGAAAGCAGTCCCACGGATGTTCCTGGTTGGGTTGTAAACACCAGTGCTTGGGTGGCAGCCTTATGTAACCCCTATGAAGAGTAGGGGTTTGTCTGATAGTCCCTAATTTACATTACAATGGCCATATAGCATTTCCAGAAAAAAACTTTCAATATTCCATTCTCCTCTGATGCTTTCTCATTAAAAAGCACAAGACATAATTATTCCCTTGAGATTCCCTATCTATTATACTGGTTATCTCTGCACTTCTAAAAGATTTTGTTCTGCTCAACAACAACTAGCTAGCATGGATTTCTACGTCTTCTTGCACAGGATGTGATTTAACATTTTATGCTACACTACCTATTTTTTATTCAGCTTGATAATATAAAATTCATTTATTTTTTATTCACAAGATTTTATAATAAATACATACAAACACCAGACTTTCTGGATAAAATATATAACAAAGAAATGAAAAATTAAGCTATTTTCTCAGATTTTTAAAAACAGAGTTCTGTTTTTTGTTTTTTAAAGCTCTTGCAATAAGATTCAATGGAAATGTTTATACTGGGCTTATTGTATCCTACTTTTATCCTTACCTATTTGTTCTCGTTGGGATAACTTCTTAAGACAGCCAATTTAGATCATTACAGTAGTACCTTGGTTCACGAACTTAATCCCTTCCACTATTCTGGTTGCAAATTACATTGGTCATGAACCGAATCAAATTTCCCCATAAGGTCAACATTGAACCTAATCATTGAATTTGATTAATTTGTGAACCGAGGAAAGAATTAAGTTCATGAACTGAGGTAGCAGTGTATTTGTTGAATGAATAAAAACTTGTACTTCCACTGCTTTCCATAATTCTGGAAATAGTGAGAACACAGTATCTTTCTGTTTTTCATGTGAATGATGTGTGGTTCACAGATTGAAACACTGCTTGGGTTAATGCACAATGAGGATTGTAATTAGCAAGGAAGAGACTCAAGAGGTCAGGCACTTCCAAAATCTAATATCCTTAAAGCAAAGCAAAACTAAGTAACTTCTGTTTTAACGTACAGACATCGCTCAGAATCTGTGGGAACTGATTTCAGGACTCCCCCTTTGCAGATGTTCACATTCTTTATAAAAAATGGCATTAACATTTTTGATTCACAACTGGCTGACTCAGTGCATGCACAAACCTTTAGATATGCAAGACTAATTATACTTGTTTTTCTAACTGTAGGGTTTGCAGACACATTGCAAATTACATATACAAGGAGGTACTCACTCTGGTTTTTGCACTCCGGTCAGTGCCAACTTCCAATAAGAGTTTAATACATTCTTTATTTCCATTTTTACAGGCCAGGTATAGAGGTGTCTGTCCTCCAGCAGCAGCATGATTAATGTTAGCATCATATGCAATTAATAATTCTACACACCTAAACACAAGATAATGATTAATTTCATAAAAATTAGGTTTAACTCCTGAAAAGCACTACCTGATCAGGATTCTAAATATAGACAACAATGCTAAAACAACTCTGCATCTTTATATATATCAATTATTTTTATGTCTATGTATCAATTATTGTGGCTCTTATTGTATAGATTTTTTGCAAAGCCAAAAATATATTTTAATCATCAAATTTAATTAAATGAAAATTTAAAACAGTACATTTGATCAAGTGATAAACTTTGATTTATGACACTTCTCTCTAATCAACTTGAAAAAGTGGAGTCGTTGGAGTAGTTTAACTTATTGAAATGAATAATTTAAAATATAAAAGAATTTAATGCAAAAAAAATAAATAAAATATATATATATATATCTTGAACTTGTGGTACAAAATAGTTTGCCCCTTGAGGAAAGTCAAGCTGCTGAGTCATTCTGCAATTTTTCACTTGAGAAAATAATTACAAGTAGCATAGGCAGCAGGGCATCATGTGCCTCCTCTATAAAAAGTAGCAAGGAGACAGAAAAAGCTGCCTTGGGGATCAGAGACGGTGGAGGGTGCCCTGTCTCCTGAAGGGGTTGGCTGAGAAGGACAAAGACAGCTTTGCAGAAGCTCACTCGCAAAGAAAAGAAAGGCGGTAAAGCCAAGACTTGGTGGCAACTTAGTGACTAGCAAAACACAGAGCTTGAATTCGCAAAATCAAATTCAGAAAAAATTTAGGAAAGAGGGCTAATCATAATTATTAGGAGTAGTATTAGGGTTACTAACATTGATGTGAACCTGAAAATCTATCTTTTTAAAATTCTCTAATTTGCTAAAAAAAAAAAAATTTCTATCAGGATGGTCGGACTAAAATGGTGGAAAGCAGCTTGTATTCCCCACACCTGCTATTTTGTGGAGTCAAAGAAAGCAACTTAGTTAAGTTCTATTATTAAAATATGACATTTAAAAAACTATGCTTATATCTGACTTTATAAGCTCCTAAAGAAATCATTGCTAAAATTACGTGCATTTTAATAGGCGCTCAATGGGTTTTGTTTTGTTTTGAGATAGGGTCTCACTTTGTAGCATAGTTTGGCCTTGAATTATCCAAGCTTCCTGCATGCCAAGATTACAGGTGTGTAACACCATACCTGTGCTCCTGATGGTTTCATAACTGAACTACTTTCAGTACGTAAAATTCCTTCCTCAATTTTTTAAAACAGTGAATCAAGATGAATATTTGGGATTTAATCTGAGTAAATTCCCATTAGGAAGTTAAAAATATTAAAACAACATAATTCAATGTTTTATTTTTAATGCCATTGTAAGTAAAAAGCTTTTGTGGACTTTGGCAGAAAATAGTGAGTAGCAACTTTTTCAACACTTCCTTACTTCACTGTGCTGACGTGCTATAGATTACCCTCTTTGCAAGTAAGTTCTTTCATTTACAGCTTGGACATTCTGCATTTCATTTCTTCTCTTTCCTCAGACACAACTACTTAACAATCAAGAAGTACATATTCAGGATCCTACTTTTAAATCCTCAAATATGTTTAGTGAACTTATTTGCCAATGGATTTTAAGCACTAGTTTATACATTTAGGTGGAACTAAAATATGTTTGCAAAATATAAAAAGAGGCTATCTTCAGAGAGAGAGAAAAAAAAAAGAATTAGAAGCATCACTTACTCAAAATGTCCCTGAGCAGCTGCAGCACACAAAGGTGTGAAGCCATTTTTATCGGCAGCATTGACTTGGGCTTCTGCATTCAGCAGCAATCTCACACAATCTATGGATTTTTAATAGAAAGCAATTTTAATCCCCATTTTGAGTTATGATGAACCAAATTCTCTGCAAGATGCAGACAGATTTGAAACCCAAAGGACCTCTCCCCTGTGCAGCTAATCTGAGCAATTCTATCATGGCAGACTTGAGATTCCAGACTATTTCACAAGGAAAGTAGCCTCTTTTCCCCAAGTTTATGATATCCCACAACTCACTAAGGCATGATTTTTTCCAATGCTTTGGGAAAAGTTACTGATGAGTAAAGGAATGTCATGTGCCAGAAAAGGCTCTGCCACATTTTTCCACCAGCCCATCCCAGAAATAATGTTTTTGTACAGCCAACCAAATCCATTTACCAACTTGGAATACCATTATTTCTACTTAAACAGTGAAATTCTTACTTTATAATAATTTAATCCTTAAGTGCATATGTATAATGGCCATCCTATGCTAACTGCATGAATGAGGATAAAGCATCTACCTCAGGCATAAATATTAACTACTGCTCACATTGTGTTATTACCTAGATTTAATTCATTTATGTTAAAGAAAATTCCCAGTTGTGTTTTGGTACTGGGGATCAAACTTGGGACCTTGCACTTGTGAGGCAGGCGGCGGCACCACTGAGCTACATCCCCGGCCCAAAAATTCCCAGTTTTTGAAGAATTCCAAAGTACTTTAAAATTATTGAACTAGATGTTCCATTTATCTAAAAAAATTGACAATCATATGGCTCACACATGCAATGCTATTTGATTTTATACTTGCAGTTAATTCATTTTTTTCTGTACTACCATGTTTTAGTATATTTAACAACATAATTTGCATTTTAAAGAACAAGAATTTCAAGTCTTCATTGATAAACCATTTATAGTTACATAACTTTTCAGTTCTTTGCAAAAACATCCAAAAAATCTCTATGTTGTTGCAACTACAGAACAATTTCAGACCTATGACTCCTTCTAACGACCAAAAGTCCCCTCACTGTAGCCTTTGCTGATGGTCTTTCTCTCACATTATTTTTGTCCTGAACAAAGGTCACAAATGGACAGCCTTATTCTAAAATGCACTTTATAGTTACTAGACCTCAGACTTCTCAACACACATTTCATTGCACATAAAACAGAAATTACTTTTAACTAGCTGTAATACAATTTTACATTAAGGAACTATATGAGTTGAATTCTTTAACATTTATAAAACTTTATAACGTATATAAAAATTATTCACTACTATCTCTAAGAGAAAATTGAAACCAAAATAATTCTTTGCTCATAACAATGGTTATAAGAGCTTTTCACCTTCCGTCCTTTGGCAAGTGTGTGCTGTGAAAAAAAGACTACTCCATTTTTACCTGTATGTCCATTCTTAGCAGCAGAATACAAGGCAGAATGGCCATCTTCACAGGAGTAATTAATGTCCAGTCCTTCTTCATTAAGCAGCATTGATAATAAAGTGACATTTCCCTGGGCAGCAGCTTGCTGAAGAAGGGTGGGCCTGCCAGCCAGGGGGGCAGGACCACCACTCATTAGCAAAGGGGTTAGGGAGGGTGACCAGCCTGTAGGTTAAAGTGACCCTCGTTAGAGAGAGGGAGTAAGGACAAGAGACAGATATTACTACTCCTTCCTGAATTACATACATACACACACATAAACATATGAACATGTATCCCTAGAGCATTAAGTGGTTTCTAACATTATCAATCTGTTAATATTTTCTTAGCACGAGTCTGTACTGTTATTTCAGATCTTATTATCTGCTGCTAATTAAATTCACACACGGTGACAAATTATTTTTAGTTGTCAGTCTCACACAGATAAGTGTTAAAGTAGTGACTGGTTTTAGGAAATTAAAATGGCTGTCACATTTTAAAAGTTTAAATTCTCCTTCTGATTCTCAAAACAATTTGAATTTTAAAATTATATAAAAGTTTCCTCAATTTCAGTATCAGTCTGAGAAAGTAAAATGTTATTTTTAGGTACAGGTAGAAATGATACTATGAAATAAAGATTTCCTTCCTCAACAATATTCCCAATTTATTTAATTATAAATTTTACATAAGCCATTAAGATGGGTCTAACACTGGCAAGGAATATACTTATATTCCTTGAATACCTTTATTTGGGAATGAACTAATGATGTTAACTACTCCTCAGTATCAAGAGTTAACAAACACAACGTGCGTAACTGGATCTAGAACACACCAGTGCGAACATTCAATGACAATTTTGAAGGCCATGTTATCCGGACATCTTTAACAGGTCTAACAAACTTTTAATCAGCCAACAAAACAGGACACTACCATATAGTTTTAACAAAAATCATTAAGAGTTATCAGGGTTAGGTATTTCTCATCAGTATTTAGCAGCTTTAGGAGAGAATCTGTTAAGGGTATGGAGTCGGTTGCATATAGTATGGAAAATTTTCTGAATTCTTCCTTGATCAAAAGGCTGCAAAAATAGTAAAGTAAAATGTTTATTTAAAGTGATATATAGGTATTTGTGTCTTTTAGGCTTAAGTACAGTGAACTTCCAAAATAAGACATTCTGGTTTTCTCCTTAAAGAGATCCAATACTTCCAAATAGTATTGTGTGCACATACTCTTTCCTCCAGGGCACACTTTCCTCATACATACAGTAAATAACCTTTAATCAGAAGCCACAGACAGATGTTTTACATTCCCTGCACATGAATATCAGAATCATGTTCTAGATGGGAGGGCATTATATTAATGTACGTATACAATACTCAGATCTTATTATTAAACCCTAAGTCACTGGCCTTTAATTATTTTAATAAATATCAAAGAAATTTCTTAGTAAAAATTATTTAAAAAACCAAAGTCATTTATACAAATGAAACTATACTATTTGTTAAAGACTGGGTGTATCTTCATAATCAATTACTTGGATCCATGAAATCATTTATTGTTTTTACTGGGACTGCAGTGACAGACAAAATGCTCATAAAATTCAATATTTATCTAAACTTTGTGATATTTTTCCATTGATATTCATTAGGTCTTCTTACAAAAGTGGTATTTTTACTTCATACTTACAAGAACGCTCCTCTCTGGTACATTTTACCTTTTGTATTTTCTTAAAAACAAACAAAAAAACAGGCCCACAAAAATTAAATCAGTACTTATTAGAAATGGATGATAAACAGAGAAATTATAAACACCAAGGTATGAAACCTTGACTGTAAAGCAAACACAGGCAATACAAAAGCATCACACTACCGCCCTCTGTGGAACAGGATGGATATGGCTCATGCTACCAGTGTCTGTCTCTCTTTCTCTATCTCAGTCAAGGTGTCTTTGGTTATTGATATTCTCTTATGAATATCAACACACACACACACACACACACACATATATATATTAAACAGTTGGGTATTCTTTTGGGGGAGCAGTTTGAGACAGGGTCTTGCTATGTAGTCCAGGCTGGCCTCGAACTCCCAGCAATCCTCCTGCCTCAGCCTTCCAAGGGCTGGAATGCTAGGATTACAGGCATGCACCACCATGCCTGGCAACAATTGGCTATTCATTTGAACATTGTCTTCATTCATTTCCTCACCACAATTCTAGGCTTTAGGAGATAATTTAAATGTTACTATATTTTCCAACTGTTTTATATGAAAATATTAAATTACAGATATAATTTCCTAGAAAATCCTATTGTAATGTTAAATTATTTGAAAAATAAAAAATGCTTTTTCTTTTTGGATTTTTTTGTTTTTTGCAACAGGGTCTTACTATGTAACCCAGACTGGCATCAAATTTGTCATTCTCCTGCCTCAGCCTCCTGGGTACTGTACTTACAGGCATCCAGCAAGGTAAAAACTTTATTCAAAATTTTTCTCAATCTTTAGACTACTCAAGAGTTTTACAGTTCTTTCTGTCCCTAGACAGAACTACAGAAGGTATGTTTCCTTATTTTCTTAGAGGACTGTAAGACAGCTTAAAAATCTTTACAAAAAATGCTTTATAATACCATGTATTCTTAAACTTTTAAATAAATGTTACATATTAACAGTCATTTCCAATTTTCTGTAGCACAAACTTATTGTTAATAAATCCTGCTATAGATATAGGAAAAACAACTTCACTACAAGACTGTATTGCTCATCTGAAAAACGAGGCAATGATACCAATGGTAATATTTAGTGGACTGGTTTAGTAATCACAGAACAGATCTATAGTCACACAGCTACTCTAATGAAGTTAGAAAAGGCATTCAACTTTGCAGTGTCATATGCAAACATTAGCAAAGGTGAGCGTCTAACATGACATGCCAGGAAGGGAACAAAACGTGCAATGGCTGACGGAGGAGGAATTGAGAACAGCTTCTGGCATCAGCTTCAGAGAGGGGGGAAGGTTAATGTCATAGCCCAGATTATTTTTGTGTTCAGATTTAGCCTTTAAGCCAATCATACGTGAGAATAATTTTTAAAATATATATTTAAGGAAAAAAGTCTGAACCAGACTAAATAAAATGTGCCAAACAAATAACAACAGAAAGAAAACAGAAAAAAAATTTCCAAGGGTATGGAAACTCAGTTGCCTGGAGTGATTTCTGCTTTAGGCTTCTGTTCATTCAACAATTAAAAGTTCATATGCCAAGTTCAAAAGGAAGAAGAAATTCTAATTCGTTTAGAATTTAAAACATTATTTTGAAATTGGATTTGGCTATAAAAGTTACCAGTAGATTTAAAGAACTTTACCGTGTAATCCACTTCTGTTATTCTAATTCTCACTGGAGGTTTAACTTGGTTGTAATTGTCACAGATAAAAGTTGACATGGACAATATTTTAGAGTTTAAAGATCTGGGATCTAGCAGATCTCCAGAAGGGAAAGGTAGTGAACTGTTGTTTCAATTCATCAGGCTAATTTAAGACATCCTTTGGCTTGGAAATAAATGTTTTGACTCATTGTTTTCATTTTTAGATGGAAAACTAATAGCTCAGAGAAAATCTGCTCTCCAGGATGATATAGAAAGGGCAGAAACGGACTACCCTTGCCTTCTTATACTCAAGTTCAGTGTTCTTTTGATGGAAATAAAAACAAACATCTGCCAGATATCTGGCATATGTGCTCTGTCCCCATGCCTGATGCTAGCAATGACAGGTGTTAGTGGATATTTGTGTTAATATTCTTCAATGGGCTTATGACCTGGAGAGGTACAAGCTCACCCAGGCACATCTGGGTTAAAAAGCAGGACACAGGGAGCTCTGGTGCATCCTATGTGCAATGAGTATGGTGGCAAAATCTGGGTCAACTGCGCTGGGAGTGTAGTTCAGTTGCAGAGATCTGGGTCTGATCCTCAGCAACACCAAAAGAAGAATAATTGGGCGATCTAAATGGAATGCAGAGTTAAAATCCTATATCTCATTTAAGTGAGGCTAACCTACACCGACTGTTGAGTTACAAAGTTACATACCTTTCTCATGCAAAGGTGGTAACATTTCTATCCCCGGAACAGAGAAGGAGGTGCTCAGTAGACACCTGCTTTAGGACTGATACCTCAGGTACCTCCCCTCTTCCCTTCGAAGCTACATCTCCTCCCCACCTCAATAGTGAGGATTCAACCCAGGACCTTTATATTGAGCTACATCTCCAGCACTTTTTATTTCTTAAGGCAGGGTCTAGCTAAAATATCCAGGCTGGGTTCAAACTTATAATTCTTCTGCCTCAGCTTCCCAGAGTGCTGCAATTATAGGCAAGTGCCACCTCATCTGGCTCAGGAGCCCTAATTATAATTGAAAAACAGAAGCCTGTTATTCCACCAAAGGTACTTCTATAGTTCTGAGACTATTTTGGCCACGTTTCAAAAATCAGAGAATAGAAAGCAAGGAATCAATTCTATGTATCATCAATAGCTGCCATGTTTTTGGAACCGCTATGTATATTCTCTTTTGTTCCCCGGACAAAAGCAAAAGACATTTTTCAGAGGACTTCTGGGTCCTCCCTACAAACTTCCACTGTATCCTAGACATGTTGTTCTAGACAATATATAACAAATTAGAAAACCTCCATCCTTTAAAGCTTAAAAACCTGCTGACAAAATGCTCCTCAGTCATAGATTCTGGTCTTAAAGCTTCTCTGCTGAAATCAATGAGGATCTGTAGCCAGACCCTGGACCACACTGATGACCAGGGCAACAGCTAGTAGAGCCTCATGACAGCAAAGAACATATGACTTGTATTTTTTTTTTTTGGTACTGGGGATCGAACTTGGGACCTTGTGCTTACAAGGCACGCGGTGGCACCACTGAGCTAAATTCCCGCCCCCATGGCTTGTATTTTTTTTAAAACTGACAAAATTTACATACCCTGGGTAACGTTTCCTATTTTACAATCTATGCAGTCAAAGGATAACCAATGCTCCATAGTTTTGAAACTTTTATGGAGGCTTAAAGATCTTATGGAACATCCTCTTCTTCTCTTGAATGGTAGAAACCCTCTCTTCTGGGGGTGGGTTTAATTTTTGAGAAGAGGCCAACATTATCTCAGACCATGAGAAGGGCTTGTTAGTTCAGCAATGCTGTCTTGAATAAAAATGTTGAATGCTTGTAAAGATACCACAATGCTATAAGCCAACAATATCACTGAGGCAAGAATACCACCTCTATTTAGTGACTACTCAGGCTCAATCCTGTGCCCTTTAATTGTGATAGAATTTGAGCCTCCTAATAGCCACTCCCCCAAAATGGTGTAAGATCCATATAAAGGAAAAGAAAACTCGCTTAGTGTGAGAAAAATCAATGAAAATTCAGTTGTAAATGGTAGAATCTAGATTCCAACAGATATGAGTAACTTCAAAGTCCATGTTGTTTCTAATTCTCAATTTTGTACCTCAAAATAGCCTTTCAAAGAGCTTAATTTCAAGGAGACAGCTTATTATTATGGTGTACTGATCTCATTACCTGATAAAATCAATAAGTACAGTGTTACCTGTTTTTCAAATTCTCACTCTAAATTTTAAATATGATACTATTCAAATTTTCCTTTAATTTTTAAATTTCCCTCCCTTTAGAACCAATAATATTTGCTAACCACTAACATGCCAGGGTAGGAGACATCTGCGTAACATCAACAGACTGACACTGCAGCATTATTTTACAGCCAGATGCTGAACAAAGGATTAATCCACCAGGGATGCAGAGTAGCTTAGTGGTAGAATATCTGCCCAGGAATCACACAAGGAAGGTCCTGAGTTTGATCCCCAGAACTGCCAAAGAAAAGAAGAAAACTAATCCAGTCATGACAATAAAAACCAATGCTTGTTTTAAAGATGAGTGCAATGGGCCACAACTATAATTCCAGCTACTTGGGAGGCTGATGCAGGAGGATTGCAAATTCAAGGCCAGAGTAGGCAACACGGCAAGGCATTGTCTCAAAAATAAAAAGAGCTGAGGATGTAGCTCAATGATAGACCATTTGCCTAGCTTGTCCAGGTCCTTGTGGTCAATCCCCAGTAAGGGGCAAAGAAGAGTATGCTTCTTCTAACAATGTACAATGAAAAGGAAAAAAAAAAATCTAGTTCTTTTTTCAACAGTTCCAGATTCAGTGATTTTATAAAGCTCATCTGTAATGGAAAACATCTATAAGATAGCCCACGTGCTATATGATCCATCTGCTCAATGCTGGAAGAAGACAGCTTAAAATAGCATGAATGGCTCTTGAAATAAGCTAAGAATATTCACACTCTGTTTCTGAGGGTAAGAACAAAACCTTAACATCAAACTGATTTTAAAACTCAGAATATACCAATTATAGAACAAACCCAATAAATTTGGTATTTCAGAAAGTACTGACTTGAAAGAAAAAATAATCCCTGAAGGGTTAGAACCAAACACATCCTGTCTGATTGTGATCCATTAATATTGAGGTCTTGTGAGATAAATATTTAATAAGAAGAGATACTCTTTCCTCCCCTAGAAATGTTTCAGTCACTCTAAATTAATGGTCTCCATGTGCTTCAAATCATTATTTTCAGGTTGTTTAAAAGAAAGCACCTAGCATAACAAAACCGCAATTCATACAGCAAGATGAATCACCATACCCAGGAACCTTTAAAGAAAATTACCAAAAAAAAAAAGGAAAGAAATAGGAAAACAAAATCAAATTTAAAAAAAGTTTCAAAGCAATGTGAAGAAAATTAAGGCAAGTGAGAGGACAGGCCACATTCTTAAAAAAGGGTAAAAGATTTCAATCCCTTTACCTGATGCTGTTACCAGGAGGCTGTCTGAGGCACCTGGTCTATGGGATGAGGCACTAACAGGGCTTATGGAAGAGCAAAAGGCAATGGTGGTGGGAACGACAAGGGAACTGTCTGAACATGCAGGTTGGCTCAGTCCAGGGACTTCAGCAGGCCAGGCACCCACCTGAGATGTGGCCAGGGCTGAAACTGTACAGCCTGTAGGTGCCACAGTTAAATCTATGGATGGTTTTGGTGGCAGCTGAGGGGAGGATGACTTAGGGGCATTCTCCTCATTTGTTACCCTGTTCCCTTGTGGCAGACTGGAGGGAGGTGAAACCACACTTTTGTTATCAACTTTGGCCCCTGCATTTGAGGCCCTACTGCTATCCATGATAACCTTGAGTTGGGGATGTGGTGGAGAAGGAGTCTGGGAGAGCCCTGGCTTTTTTGGAGGGATAGGAGGAGGATTTCCTCTGTCAACACGTGGTATACCAGGAGTCTTTAAACTGGCTCGACCGACTGGAGGATGGGTCCCACCGTCCCCTGCAGAGGCTGCTCCAAGCCTAGGGGGAGCACTTGCTTGAGGGCTTGTAAATCTTGACAGTGCTTGGGTCACAGTATTCCGAGCCAGCTGTTTGGCCACTAGACTGTCACGACTGGTAGGAGAGATATCTCTTGATGGAGGACTTTGTGTAGTATTTCCATTTTGATCTGGGTCATTAACATTCCCCTGAAATCTGAATCTAGCGGCTTGGATCCGTGGGTTTAGACCTGCATGCAAAGATGCATTGGCACATGGTGAATGTAAACTATGCATAGGTGGAGCTTGTGAATAGGTCTGGGGAGTGGGGCCTGGTGTCTGAGCAGTGGGAGGGGTAGAGCTACTGGGAAGTGAGGGTGTGCTACTTGATAGATCAGGCATTGAGCCAGAGCTCGGTCCATTTTCCTCAATCCTGCTTGTACCTGGAGGTGGAAGTGTAGGTTGAGAGGAGCTGACCAAGTCCCCATGGGAAGCCTGCCTGTCAATGCCCGGTCTGACCAATGGGGCACTGGTGCACACATTTCCTTTTGCATTTGCAGAAATGAGGGGGCTCCCTGCAGAAGGCTTTACAGGCATGGTCAAAGGCACCTTCTTCACATGGTCAGTGCTTTCTGTCAGTAGGTCAGTCTGACAAGCAACAGACTCTGTCACAGGTCCTTCTGTTCCTACAGATATGGAAACCAAATGCCTATCTTTTGTCTTCCGTGGGAGGGAAAGGCTTGGTTTGCTGTCGCTTCCTCTCTTCAGCTGCTCGATCATTTTCTTCATCTTGTCTATCTCTTCTTTGAGGTTAGTAGTGTGCGCTTCTTCTCGGTTCAGCTTGGCACGAAGCTGTTCCCGCTCGGTATCAAACTCAGAGAGTTGTTTCTCCATCTGAGCTTCCATTTCTGTGCTTCGTCGCTTCTCAGCTGAGAGTTCCTCTTCTAATTCATTTGTCTTTTTCTTTTCCTCCTCCAGTTTGGTCATTACTTCTTCCAGCTTCTGGGCTTCCTCTATGACTCTGCCTGAGAGCTGTTTACACTCCTTTGCCAGCATCAGGACCACCTGCTTGTTCTTCTCCCGCTCCTCCTCGAGCCGGGCAGCCAGCTTCTTGTGCTCTTGCTCAAGAGCTTGTAGCTGAAGCTTTTCCATTTCCAGCTGGAAGACATTCGCAGGAAAACCCAGATTAATATACAGAATATTCTTTTCACCAAAGAGGGCTTTTAGTGAAGTTTTTATTAATTTTCTAACCACTGTATGGTTTGAGTTAGCAAAAACGCCACATTTTCAAAATGTATTATGATAAATGTATTATGTATTAAATGTAAATGTATTAAAATATTTCAAAATATTTTAAAGACCCATTAAAATGAGAACATTTCTGTAAAATAGCTTTGTGAAAAATATGTAAGTCATGGCAATAACTGTTTTAATTTATTAAGGTAAAGAAAAAGAGGATAATAATCAGATGCTTCAGGTTACAGCACAGAATTCAGTAAGTTCAATTTCTGTAAAAGTAGAATTCTGAGGGAACTGGTGATATTTAAAATGTTCAACGTGGGGCTGGGGATTTAGCTCAGTGGTTCTGCCTCCTGCCTCGAAAGCGCAAGGTTCCGAGTTCGATCTCCTGTACCAAAATAAATAAATAAATAAATAAATTAATTAATTAATTTAAAAAATACAATAAAAGGTTCAACACTTTCAAATTACTCACTAATCTCTGAGGTACGGAATCATGTAAAGGGCTGAAAAGATAGGACTTCAGGTAAATTCTAAGCTCCCATATTCACTAATTGTACTACTTAACTAAACAAACTTCTTTGGACTTCTTTATAATTACTATGGAAACCATGAAATCATATATGAAAGTTTTTTTAAAAAGTATAAAGAACTAAGTAATTATCGTCTCAGAAGTGTAATCAGAGTCAGTGAACCAAAAGTCTGGTCTTGTCTCGTCCATCCTGCTGTCTCACTATCCCAGTCCCCCCAGTACTTCTTGAACATGACCCTGCCTCAGGATCTTTGACTCTGCTGGCCTGTCACCTAGATTTCTACCACACACCTCCACACCTTTGCAAGATGCTCCTGTGCAGGCCAAGAGTGACCAGGGAGCAGGGCCTTCTGTACTCTCCACACTGCCCAGGAGTGTTTTCCTTCACAAAAAGCTGCTGACTGCTCACCAAGCCACAGGTTCCTAGCATTAGCGCTTTCCAGAAAAGAAATATTTCTCTAATTGACTGACCAAAAGAAGTAGCTCTTAAAAATCTTTCTCTCTCGAGGTGTTTTTCAACAAAAAGTACCCAATAGCACAAGAGGCTGGCCCCTTTTTCCTTCAAGCCTCTACTCCACTGCCCATCATCACCTGAGAACAGTGCCTCTTCTCTTGTATCTGTCCCCCATGTTTAGGACCTACCTGCCTCCACTAGAATGTAACTTCTTCCTGAGGCCAGGGGCTGTGACTTTCTATGGCCCCAAGACCTAGAACAGTGGCTGGCACACAGTGGTGCTTGACAAGTTGTCGAATGAATCAATCAATGAAAAGAATTAACATTACTCCACAAAAACATCAAATTTCCAGACACTGATGGGCTTTCTGAGTACGTGGAAGCTGTATAGCTGCACTATTCTAATATGGCTTTCTCACTTCTCTCTAGGGGCAGGTCTTTCCTGAAGTTGTAAAGAACAAAGGATACATCTAAGGCTGCCATGCAGTTGCCAGGCTAGCTCACCTGCCCAACTAAAGCAACATTCCAGTGTGGTCCATGGAGGGCTTGATGGCTCATAAAGGTTAAAGGAGACCTCCCTTGTTAAAGATATGGAAAGGACCTTTTCTCTCCTTGAGATGTAAAAAACAAATATAAGGCATATCTCAGTTTATTGTACTCTACTGTGCTTAACAGATACAGTGGGGTTCTTTTTGTTTTTTCAAATTGATAGTTTGTGGCAAGCAGGTCTATTGACCATTTTTCCAACAGCTCAGATAATCCTTAGCATTTTTTTCCACAGTAAAGAATATTTTAAGTTACATACTTTTTTTTTTTTGGTACCGGGGATCGAACTTGGGACCTTGCGCTTGTGAGGCAGGCGCTGGAACCACTGAGCTAAATCCCCGGCCCAAGTTACATACATTTTTAAAAATATAAACATAATACTATTGAACACTTAGACTACAGTATAGGGTTAGCAGAACATCTATATAACTCACTGAGAAATCAAAACAGTTATTTCAAAATTTGCTTTACTGCAGTAGTCTGAAACTAACCCTAAAATATATTCCCCAGAGAGCTCGTATTTATTAAAGTCAGATTCCAGTCATTAATAACAGAGGAAGGAGACTTTCCTAGGGTCCATCAGCTATTAGCATGTGCTCCTGTGTTCTTTACCTTGCTGTGAAAACCACTACGCCATCCTCCTCACAGTGCTGTGGCACCAGAAAAAGAAACCCCACTGGGTGCAGCTAGGGCTCAGGAATACTATTTATTTAGGTTGGGATGCTTGCTGCTTTGAAGAACAGTTTTTGAATAGCAATTGGGGGATGGGTCTCATAAATAGGTGATCAGAACTACAGATAATTCCTCAAGGAAAATGGCTCATGTATTCTCTTTTACTATACAAAATCTTACGAGTGACTTTATAAGTAGATCAGGAAAGATTTGGAGGACAAGTGCGATCATAATATTTATATGTATATTTTATTTGTATGGGTGCTTCACAGAAATTTTGACTTTCTATTGGCTAAAGCACTGCAACTCTTCCAAACTATACCAAGTCACAGACTTATATAAGAAGGTGCCCATAAAGTTAGGAATATTAAGAAAACAATATATTTTATGTTAATGTAAAAAAATTCTCCTAACAATATAAGTAAAAGCACAATCTAGGTCAATTTTCAGCTTACTTTTAAAATTTTTAATTTACCTTTGAGGGTAAAAAAAATATGTGTTTTACAATTCCAAGTCCTACCCTCATTATACAAAACTAACTAGAGGCCACATTTGTGACTTCCCTGATGCCATCCAGCTAACCGAGGTCAAAATCACAGCCATCATTCAGCGTTCTAATGGCTTCAAGCTTTTTCTCATTGCCAACGGTATTTCTTCACTATGGATCACATTTCAATTTGGAAATAACTCTCATTTTTCAGTACAGCATCAAATATAAAAAACTTAGAAGAGCAACTCAATTAATCTTTTATTTATACAGAAAGCTCTATGACTGTAAAGCACCCATAATTTTCTTGTATCTTGGTTGTTCTATCACTTGCACCTCATAAATCCCACCTCAGATTAATACATGTCTTTTTAACCCTCCTACAGACAGCAGAGCACAGAGAAAACCTCCCAAAGGGTACACCTACTACAGACATGGCACCAAACTCCACTAGCTCTAAACCTCAGCCATCCATCACTGTACCTTTGTTTAGCTTCTTCTACCATTTACTACAGCAGTATTTTTGACCTTTGCTACATTCTCAAAAGTTCATCCAGTGACAACTCAAAGGGCTGTCAGTCTAACTTTAGGGACTCCTTTATCAAGAAAACCCCAACTCACTCACTCCTGCCTGCTCAGCACCCTGTCTCCTCCCTTAAGCTTTCATTAGAGCCTCACCAACCCGCCTGTGTTCTTCTGTTAATCTGAGGAGAAATGGCTTCCATCTGCTCAGCATTCAACTCTCCTTCAGCACTGAACTTCATTCTTCCCTGTCACCTTTGGGACTTGCTCTATCAGTTATCACACCGCTCTTTATAAATACCAACCATCTGCTCTCTATGAACTCCTTCCAGTCAGTACAGAAACAAAATCCAAAGCTTTGATTTGTGGAGGGGCACACTGGCGACTGAATCCAAGGCCTTCCCACTGAGCTGAGCCATGTACCCATCCTCTCTTTTTCCCCCCTATTTTGAGATTGAGTCTTCTAAATTGCTCAGGCTGGTTTTAAATTTGCAATCTTCCTGCCTCAGCCTCCCAGCTTGCTGGAACTACAAGAATGTACCACTGGGCCCAGCAAAAATAATTTTTATATTAAAAATATTCTTTGACCATTCATGCCAAGGACAAAGTCTTTGGCCTTGCTTTCTTGTCTTTCTGCTTTCTTCGGCCTTTTTCTGTCTATAAAATCAACTTCCTCTATTAAGCTCATCAGAACACTTATTCTGTTTTATGAAATGAAGTGTTGCCTGAGTCTAGAATAAAAAATAAAACCAATTAAGATTACTAAACTACCTGAGTATGATGGTACATGCATGTAATTATCAGCTACTTGAGAGGCTGAGGCAGGAGGATCACAAGATGTAGGCTAGCCTGGGTAACTTAGCAAGATCCTGTATCAAAACAAAATTTAAAAGCCTGGGAATGTAGCTCAGCACTAGGACACTTGCCTAGCATGTACAATCCCCTGGGTTCAATACCTAGCACGCCCCCCAAATCCTATATGTGTATATATAATATATTCTAAATGAATATATAAATATAGTAAGTCCCTGACTTATGAATGAGTTCTGTTCCAGAACTATTCGTAAGATGGATTTGTATATAAGCTGTCAAAGTAAGTCTTATACTGTATATATGTGAAAATTTGCAACTTGAATATTTGTAAGTCAGGAACTTACTGTACAAATATATAAATATATGATGCAATATATTAATGCATAGTATATGGAAATACATATTCTCCTGAACACACACACAAAATCCCTTAGCAAAATATTTTAGGCATCTAACTTGGTTCAATATTCAAAAATAAACCTGTGTAAATATCATATGAAGAGAAAAGACCATGACTACATCAACAGATAAATCACTCTACAAAACTCAACACACATTCATAATAAAACCTTTCAATAAGAAATAAAACGGCACCTCGAAGAGATTAAAAAGTATCTGTAAACCAGCATAATTAACATCATACTGAATGGTGAAACACAGAATATTTTTTCCTTAAGAAAAAGGAAATGGCAAAGAGGTCCACAGTCGCCACTTCTCTTAACACTTCTGCACAAGAGGTTCCAGCCACTGCAATGATGCAGGTGTGGGAAGTAAAGGCAGGCAGGCAATTTGGAAAAGAAGTAAAACGTGTTCTGTTTATATATAACATGCTCACCTAGAAAATGAAGTGTAATATTAAAAGTAACTTCTAGAACTAATATGTAATTTAGCAA